TTTGTGAGATCTCATAACTTTGAAGATTTTCTACAATCTGGTAGTGTAGCACTAATGCAAAGTTATTAATGTAAGTCAATTTTTGAATAACCATATTGAAGACTTAGGAATGCATCTGAAGATATAGTGTTCAAATCTTGAGCTGTGTCTCATTGCAGATGTGTATAAAACTGTAGCTCTTGGATCATAAAAAGTATGAATCTCATTCTAGTATTTTACTAATGTGGTTTAGACAGTTTTGCTAATCACGCTGCACTAATTAAATTCTTATGTTACAGATTATAGGAAGTTTAACTTTTTAAAAATTGGGCAAGCCTCATGATGGGAAAGCACGTGGACACGTGATTTCTCAGGAGACTGAGTAGTCTATTATATTGTATGAATATATATCTACTCACCCTTGCCTTCTCTTCCCCCTCCTATCCTCTGCAGAGTGTCTCAGATATATTACAGAATTACTTAGTTTCATAAACTGGGTTATGAAAGGCAGTGGGGGTGCTGCATGTGTGGCAAGGTAGGTCATACAGGATTTATAAGAAGGACTGCCTGGGTCCTGCTAGTTCCTCAGCTCGTACGAGCTGCGCAGCTATGGCTGGTGTTCTTTACCTCTCTGTGCCTCGTCGTCTGCAAAGCTAGTGTAAATTTTATTTCTGTAATAGGAATGTTAAAGCTTGACTGAGGTTGCAAATGCTTCACAGTGTTTCTAAGATGATTTGGGAAATTAAGCACTATATTGTAAAATATATCAGCATTAGTCTGAAAGACTTTCAACTAAGAAAAACATCCTGGCTTAGCTGGAAATATCTCTGCAGTCCCCTTTGTTTTAATTGCCTGAAAAGCTGGATGGAACAGGATGGAAAAGGCAGCTCTTGAGCATGCTGTGTCAGTTGTCCAGAAGCTCTTAAAAGACCCTTTTTTGGCTTTAGAAAATAAAACCTTGGGAAGGTTAAATAGAGTAGAGTCAGGATGCTTTAGTCCTTTAGAGGTCTTTCTCTTCAAAGATTAAAGTATTTCAAGGAGCATGTTTGGAGCAGCTTTCTCTTATCTCTGGGGTGCTTTCGAGCAACATTGCGGGGAGAGGGGTGGCCAACAGTGGCACCTATTCTGCAGCAGTCATTTTTTGTGTGTAGTTTCTGAAGTACAGAAGTTTCTGAAGTACAGAAGAACAAGGAAGCAAGGCAGGGGCACAAAGATACTCGGGACTTGGAGCACAGTTTAGGAATACAGTATGAAGAGCCTAATACCTTTGCAGTGTACAGGTTTGAACATTAACATTTCTATTACTGATCTAGTCTTCTTTAGCAGCACATATGTGAAGAAACTTAACAAGTTAAACCACTCCTGTTTCCAGCAGAGGGTTGGGATTTTTTTCTGTGGGAGACTGCAGTATGGCCCAGAGGTAGGGATTTAAGTTACAACTGAAATTTTCTGGGCAGCTTTTATTGCACTCTGAAATTCAAGCAACCTTTTGCTCTGGGGAGTTTCTCGCTGTCCCGCCCACAAGCCAAAGCAGTCAGTGATCCAGAGAAAAGGTTTATTAAGGTCTGAGGGGAAATAAGTTATTTGTGCAGGACAGCCGCTCACTGTGGTCTCCTTTTTCAGTTTACAAAGAAGTAACTTAATATGTCTTTTCCTGGTCCTGCTTGTTTGGTTTGGGATTTGTTGTTGTTGTGAGATGCCACTGACAGTCTCCGTATCGCTGATGGATGGTCAGAGGGACAGGGCTGACAACAGTGTCTCTGGTTGGAGTGCTCTCTGGCTCCAGCTCATGTCTGGGTATCTCTTTCAGGATTAGCTTTTGTTATGCTGATGAATAGTTGTTTTAGAACTGCATCGTTCTTTTACTTGGAGCCACATAGAGGTTCTCAAATATATAGGTTGCATTAAAAATTGTTCGCTGTGAAGCTGTTAATTTTTAGTTGAAAGAAAAGCAGCAAACCCAAACCTTATTGCATCAGTTTTCAAACACTGCTTAATTTTTTCTCGCTTTTTTAGAAAAACATGTGTAATTGATAATCTGGTAGAGGCTGGTTAGTTTATTTTGAATTCTTTTTGCAGCAGCACACTGAGTTAAATTCTATGTCTGTAGGCTACAGCAATCTAGAGAGAACAATATATTGCACAAAGCGCATAAATTTGTCCTTAAAATATGTTGCATTTATTCTTAGTTGAATAGTTTCTGCTGGTTTTGATATCCCAAAATCATCAATATACTTCCAGAAACTGTGGTTTCTTGTTAAAGAAGTTAATTAAATTCTTGTTAAAGAAGTTAGTTAAAATAAGTCAGTTTACTAAATCAGATTACAAACTCAGAAATGCTTACTCTTTTTTTTTTTTTTTTTTAAAAGGTCTCTGCCATATATTTTGCACCTATTTCCTAGAGAGACTTTGTGTACTGCAAGTGATACTTTGATTATTGTTTTTGATTTTAACACAACCCTTCCCCTCCCCCTGCCCAATTCAAAAAAAGCCCACAAGGAAGCCAGGATTTTAAGGATGATGTAGCACAGGTATGTCACTATCTACTTGAAGATGAAGGAAGATGTCTCAAAATCTGAGTGTGCAGTGATATATTGTGGAAATAATAATAAAACTTGAGTCTCAGGAAGTCAAAATCTTCTGGACAGACTGGGAGCAATCAGAAGGCTGACTTAATTTCACTTTTATAGCCATTATTGTTCCTCATGTATTCTCTCGGATTATCCTGATTGCTTACTGAAATTATGCTGATTAGTCTGTAGTGTCTGTGAAATAGTTCTATGATTTTTCCTTCGGGTGCTACAGGTAAAAAATTAATCCAATCTCTTCCCAAGCTTTTAGCTGAACTATCTCCAGGGGTTTTTTTGGATATATCATGGTGGCAATTTTTTCTTCTTTACTCAGCAGGAGCTCCTTTGCAATTGTAATTTCTGCTGAATGCAGTGCATCCTTTGTGGATTTTTAGATTATTTTTTTCTTTTTAGTTGCAAAACACTCTCGGCCCAATGTGAAAGATCTAGAGATACAATATGACTGTCTTTTCATAACTGCCTCTGGGTTGTCCTGTAGCAGCTGGTGTATCACCATCTAAATTGAAGGCACATCTTTTACCTCTGGGCACACGGGTCTGTGCCAGGGAGAGCCACGCTCTGGCTGTCCTGCGCTGAAGCACTCTGTTCACTATTGCATGCTCTGTTGAAATATGTGCAGATAAAAGCACTTGTGATTGAAGAGCACCTGTCTGTAGTTGGAAATTGGAAAAAGAGTTTGTTTTTATGTATAAATAAACATAAATTCACTCTGCTTCAGATGTTGGTTCTCTTTCATTTTCATGTGAGAAATCACAAGCACGCTTGTGTTGTGTGAGAGGGATGCCTACACTGAAGCAGCATCACTCCCTTTAGAAAGGAGAAAAGAAGCCTACTTGGCTATTTAATAATCTCCTGTTCTGCCATAGTCACATTGTGTTCATTGAGAGCCAGAGATATTGTTCCATAATGTTTTCTGTTAATTCCTGCCTTTCTGTCCTGGAGAAAAAAGTGTCAGTCTTGTTGCTGTCTGTGTGCTCAGGGAACAAACATCATTGATTAATATTAACATTGACTAATATAAAAGGAGTTACATTTTCTACTTCTGAAAGTGATCTACAGTTCATAGAAATTTTTTGGCATTTTGTGCTCTTCACCCCTTCCAGTTCTCCTTGCCAAAAGGGCAAATGTATTTTTAAAAGCCTCAACATGCTCCAGTACTCATAAGACTCATGAGTGGCCCTTACATCCTGCCACTTAAATTTTTACATAGTTATCATTACATGTTCTTAAAGTAATGTTAATTTCAGCTATCTGAGACAACATCAGTGCAGTCCTGTCCACTGGTGTTGGAGAGGCCAAGCCAGTGCGGCACCAGACACAGCTCTTTGGATCTATCATTGCCTCAGTGTTCAGAGAGAGTCATTCTTCTGGAGTTTTTTCACCTATGTGTAATATATAGAGCCAACTTTGTAGTTGGAAAGAATTTGGTTTTATATGGATGTTAATTTTTCTATAGCTTCCCAAACTCTTAATAGTTGGGGCTGAAGCATGATCTAGCTTCACACAGTGATATGGAAGAGGATGTATATAGTCACTCAGTTGGCTGGTGAGAGAATGAAGTCATTAGCAGAAGGGAGCACTCTGCTGTCAAATCGTCTATCACAGCTACTACACTCTCACTCTCATTATATTTTTCAAATGCAAATGATAGCTTTAAGAATTCTTCCTTTGCTACATCGTTTACAGGAGCAGTTCAGTTCATATTTCTTAGTTGGAGACAAATCTCGTCAGAAGCTAAGGACAGGAGAGTCTCATCCATTAAGTTTATTCCCTTTTCTCTGAAGGTGTTTATTTGGTAGAAATATGGCAAACTGTAGAGTCATATGAACAGACTTCCTCACCAAACATTTGGTTGGCAAACTTGCTGTTAATGCTTCTCGTCCAAGGAGAGTGATCTATGTGTAGCACAAAGGGAGTGCCAGAGCCGTGGCAGTGAGGAGACCTGCAGAGCTTTACTGTTGAGTGATGTTGTTCTGTTGTTTTCTGCCACTCCATGTTTCAAATCCCTAAGAAATGTGGCAGTGTCCTAGATTTAATTTTATTGTTGTACTTTGAGGTAGAGAAATGGAAGTAGTGTCGTATTTAGGGGGTGGGAAAAGTTTAGCCTAGTCATCTGCAAATCCAGTTTCTTATATTCAGAAAAAATGCTGTCTTTTTTTTTCCATGTGTCTTAGAGCAAGTACATCAATAACATTCATACTTTCAACTTGAACATGTATAATTGTTTGGCATTCTGTTTAATGATCACTGACCTTGAGAGATTACATCCCACAAACCTGCCAAATTCCCAGCTACAGTACAGGTGTACTGTCAGTTTTTATTAAAAATTTTTGTCTTCATGTCAAGTAAAATTTGGTATTCCAAATTATTGGTGTTCAACTATTGATGGATTTTTTTTCTCCTTTTCTTCCAAATCCTCTGCTTCTCCAGGTATGAAGATGAATAATGCAGACCACTGGTTTCGATGATGCTGGGCTTTTATAACTGGATTCATTAAGGAATACAAAGAAAATTCTTACAGGGATCAATAATGGTGTCTTCTGGCTGCAGAATGCAAAGTTTTTGGTTTCTGCTCATTATCAGCTTCCTGCAGTGTACTGAAGGTAAGCTTTAGTTTATTTTTCACTTGAGTTTGCAAATGAGACGAATGGTCCGTACAATTAATTTCTGTTAGAAAATTCTCTTGGAAATTTCTGTTAGAAATTTCTGTTGAAGTTTTAGGATGTCAAACTAAAAGTATCTGTAGCATGTTCTAGCTTCAATTTCTGAGACTCAGATTGTCTCTTTTTTAAATGAAATACAAAAACACATTTGTGTTTTTAGTTTTGATACAGTGTGGTATGTTGAAACTGAAATGCAGTATTCAGGCATCTGAAGTGACTGTTAATATCCTTGATTGGTAGGTGCCTTATTTTTGGACTCTTCCTGTTTCTTCTTCTTTCTGTTCTTATTGCACAACCATTTAGAAGCAGTGTATAGATCTGTTAAATATGATATAAAACAACTAAACAGTGCAAATGGAATACCTGTCTCTAATTTGGCTGTCTGAAAATAAAGTGGCAAACACTTCATTAAGATTAGAACTATCTAAGTTAAATTTCAGGAAATAAAACTCAAAGTGCATACAGAAATAGCATCCACTTAAAAATATTTTTGCTTTTTTAAAAAAAGGGAAAAATATTTCACTGCTATCAGATGTGGTGTTTAAAATAGCTCTTTAATTTAAGAGATGAGGAAGGAACAATCTTTTTAAAAGAAGTTGTATCATCTGTTCTTTATCTGTTTTTCTTCAGAAACTCTACTTTATCCAGTCAGTTTGTCTCCCCGACTGTTCTTGTGGCCCTTTTAATAGACAGAGAAACACAAATGAATGATCAGGAAAACATGGTTATGAATTTTTAATGACAAATATTTGTATAGAACTTGAGGCTATTTCTGGGTGTAATAATTTTGATTGACTAGATTGCAGGTAGAGAAGTCTCGTTGAGTAATAAAAGAGCACCTCCATGCCTTCTTGCACTATTCAGTAATTGGTATATAATACATAGGCTTATTTGGTGCATCTGTGGCGTGATCTCACCATCATTTAAAGCAGATACATACCATACCCTATCAAAATTCTTTGTTTTCAGGAAGAATTTTCAGAGATAGTTCAGGAAAGCTGCTCTGTCTTGTCTTCTTCCCCAGATCTGCACAAACAAGGAGGATCTAGTACCGGAAAATGGCAAAACCCAGTATTAAAAATTTAAATGCTGTATATGGTCTTCCATATTCACCATGTAATTTCATAATCCTTTATTCTAGACTAACACAACTCATTCTTGTGTTGTACTGACAGACAAGCTTTGCTGAAATAGTTTGGTTGTATGTATGTGTGAACATACACATATATCAGGGAGTGTGTCCTGGGAGTCTCCATGAAGGTTACTGAATGTGGGGAAGTCTCATTTCACTTAAATAGCTTTCACGGCCACTTTCCCTTCCCTCCCTTCTTTCTCCTTAAATATTGCCAGGATATATTAGAAAACTGGCATTTCCCATGGCACACTGCAGATCTTGGATGGTTTCATCATTGATGGTATTTCTGATTTGATAGCTGTTGTACTGACTGCTCTCTTGGTGTCTGTTGAGTCTGTGGACTTGGATATAATCTCACTTTTATAGGAAAGTAAGTGCCAGCAGCTGGAAAGTAAAATGCTTTTCAGGCTCTTTCACAGGTAAGGAAGAGATAAATGCATATTAGGAGAATGGAATTACAGATCTTATGACTGGCTGGTTAGGTAATAACTTGTGTTAATTATAAATGCACTTACATTGCAAAATTGGTTGCACTAGTGGAAACCAAAGGTGTAGGAAGTAGAGGCATCAATTTATGTTTTTTCTGAAGTTTTAAAATACTAATGATTTTATTTGTTATTATAATTGTTTCAAATCCCTATATTTATTACATTTTACAAAGATTCACATATTTGCAGTTTAATGCTATGTGGTGGTTGAAATCATTTGAAAACAAAGGAGAGCAAACAGTGTTCTCTGGTTTGGTTATAGTAGCAAACAGCATGCTGCAAAGAGTGTTTTATCTGCTGAGTATGGAAAGGAAAAAGTCAACTGAGACTACAGATGAAATTTTACCATTTGCAGAAAGCTAATTTTCGTTGTCATCTATAATATTTCAAGTTCATTTTGTTCTGTCCGTGTTTTTTCTTGCTTTTAGTAGCCAGTAGCAATCTTTTGATGCTTCAGTTGTGAATTTACTTTTTTAAAGTCTATACAAGAGCTGCTTTTTCAGCTAAAAGAAACAGGGAAGGAAATTGGGAGCAGATAACAGAATCATACCAAATTAATTGTAAATTCTTAAAATAAATGAAATATTGTGGCTCTGTATACTGGAAATGAATATTAATATAGAGTTGGCTTCCAGCCACAGAAGCAAAATGAATACCACATTATTACACTTTCTCACAAGATTACATTGCCTTCTGCTTCAGTAATAAGAGATGCCAAGTGTAACGTGCTTTAGTAGCACTTCATGCCTGGAAGTACGAACATGAACAAAGGTTAAAATAAGAGCATCTAACTTTTGCTAGAAATAAGAAAATCTTTAATTCTCTCACTGGAAACCTAGGGCTTTTTTATAGAGATCTTATGTGTATATACAGGTTGTTGCAGTTGGTGGGAGAGATGAAACCTGGCTGAATTCCCTGCTGTTATATTTTAATGTTTCCGTACTGTTAAACAGACAAGAGAGTGCGGGGGGGGAAGCATCCTGGGTGTGGACAAGTGATTCATTTGTTCATATAATGAAACATTTTCCAATCAAGATAAAGACTTCATTACTCTCATAGTGCCTTAACTCTAACTCACCAGGGAGTTAGCAAGCAGGCACAGTTATATGAATGCTGCAATTTTATTTTCATGCCGCCTATCCAAATAGGAGTCATATCTTCAGTTAAGAAGGTCTTGGGTTTGCTTTGTTTTTCCTTGCTAGCGCAGTCCAGGTGGGGTTGCTTTTGAAGCAGTCTGTTTCTTCAGGTAAAAGGAACCTGGAACGGACAAGTTCTAGCAGCTAGAGAGGAAAACCACACTGAGTTATGATATGCTGCTGGTACACAGACCAACAACAGGTCAATATTGTTGTGTAGTGGCTTGAAAAGCATTGTTATTATCATCAGCACCGAGCATTGCAGCTCTAAATAAGGAAAAGATGAGAGGCAGGAAAAAGGAATGAAAAACTGGAGTCATGAGCTTAATGTATTTTTCTGCCCCTTTTTCTAGCATATTCTGCTATAGGTATGTCTTTAAAACTGCAGTTTTATTACAAAAGACAGAGTGAAAGATCCACCTTGGAAATTAGAATTGATGCTGTGCAGGTGGCTGTGTGAAGCCTCGCCTCCTACCCTGGCTGATTGCCTGGGGGAGACAGGAGCTCCCACCTGCGGCTGTCCCCATCCCACGCCCGTCCCCATCCCACGCCCGTCCCCTGT